CACACCAGGCATCTGCGGGCTTGCGTTGATGTCACTGTGTTGCACCTTCGGTCAGCACTAAATTCCCCATAAGGCTCTGCGGGGCTCACCGCATGTCAAAGGAGTGTCTCTGGGAGCTGGACGAGTCAGAGAACAGGTCTGCACCTCCTCGATCTCCCCGCGCAGCACAAGCCCTGCTGGCAGAAAACCAGCACTGGCTGTCCTGCATTGGGCTGGTATAAAACACAAAAATAAGAATTATGCAATTCAAAGTCCTTTAAAAAAAATCCAGTATGTAGAACATTCTTGAAGCACACTGAAGCAATTCAAAGAAAGAGATTTTAATATTTATGCTTAATTGAGATCAGTATTGTAATGTATTATTCTATTAAAACTATAAAAAAACTTATATTTTTGCCAAAAGCCAAACTATTTTAATGACTATTTTAAAACTATTTTATAACTATTTCAGAGTAACACTATCCAGTTTCAATATATAAGCTCTTACTTTGTCCTGGAACAAATGTCCTTTCTTTCTAAAACGAGTGACTAGACAGGGACACTTCTGCTCTGTTTTCTTAGACCTATTTTTTTCTAATTAACTTGGTGTTCCTGATTAGATAATAGACCCAATTAAAAGCATGCTGTGCCACGAACATTGTGTCACAGCTAGATGGTTGTTCTTCATTTCACCCCCAGGGTGGGGATATACTGTAGAGCCAGACCTGGCATGGCAGTGACAACCTGAAGGTTTTTTGTGTCCCTTGTGCAATACAATATATTACTGGGATAGGAACTGGGAACCGTACCTCTGACCACTGGGAATGTTCATATTAAAGTGGTAAACACGGAAACTTTGTCTACATTTGCTGTTATGCATATACTGTTTATATATATTTTAGATGTACGTCTATATCTATGTATCAAGGAATATATTTTTCATATATAGGAAGTTGAAAACAGACACACCGTACCAGAATCTGAGACATTCCCTTCACGTTCTGAGTCTTGAGCATCAATTCCAGTAAGAGAAGCCAGAAACAAAAGGCAGCCGTTTTGCCCATACAGCCCACTCGGTAGTTAGTCATCCCGCTGTGTCTTGAAAGTCGCCAGGGTGTTCCAGGGCTGCTCCATATTCATACAGACCTTCCCTCCTGTTCTCAGTCTGAGATGCATTCCCCTTAGCTTTCACGTGTGTCCTTTGGGTCTCGTTTCACTGTTTATCCTGAAGAGCTCCACAGGGCTGACTGCATTGGGACGAGGGTGTTAAATATTTGAATCTGGTCTCCTCATAGTCTTCTGTGCTCTAAAGTACAATATTTAGTTTTTTACTAAAGTAAGACTTTTACACGTTTTTTTAACTTTTTAAAGTAAAATATTCAGTTATTTTGGCCTGTCATTCATTCAAATCCAAGAACATACCTGGCAGACCGATTCCAGATCCTGCAAATGTTCAGGAGGAATCTGACACTGTGGCTCTCCTGTGTGTAAATACTCCCCAGCCCAGCTGCACCCTTTCTGCAGCTCCCTGGCTCATTCCTCCTCCCTGATGCCTCCTCAGCCTTAGTTCACACTGCAGTTTTAGGAGCACTAACCCCTTACCTGCCGGCTCATTTCTTCGTCATTGGAATCTGACTCAACTACTGAATATTGCTTGAATATTGAGAATCCTGGTGATCAAAACTACTCTTCACCATTTTCTGAACGAGGTTTTACCCGTGCGCTGTACAGTTTGGTCATGACATCCCTTATTTTACATACTATGCTTTTAACTCTATATTCTGGGATTGTCTTTGCATTTGTATTGCTTTCCTACATTATCTGAATGTAGCTGTGTCAACATAAATACCTAAGCCTTTGCCGTACATCATTTCTTCAAAGCTCAGTTTCTCTGCTCTTACTACCTGCATGTAGCACCGTGTACTTTTTGAATTTCCTTGAGAGTTCCTAGAGTGTGTACTGATCCTCCTTTTTGCCATCATCTGCAAATTTCACTTGTGTACTAAAAACGCCAGAATGCAGATCACTGACGTTAATTAGCAAATATGAACTGTCCCAATCTGTGCACGACAGAACGTTTTGTTTCTTCCTCTTCATATAAAACACATTCTCAGGAACATTTTCCTTTCTGCCTTTTTTTCTGTTTTTTTTTTCTAAGCTATTATTTCTCTTCTGTGGGATCTGATTGGTCTCCATTCCCAGTTTTTCGTCCTTGTGAAACTACGTCACCATCAGCAGCAGCAGCACTGTTGCGGTTCTTCATTTTATTATTCTCATTCTTGTTATCACTCCATTCTGAATGTTATGATACATACAGGCACCTTAGTAATGCAGGGCAGTTATTTCACCTTGTATGTGCTGATTGGAACATTCGGACAGCCTTGTAAGGCAATCTTCCCTGTCCACATCAATTATTTAGCATTAGCATATGGTGAATTAGTCTTTGCAGAGGAAAGGCTCTGATTCAGATTACCTATGAAGCAAGCTTTTATGTGTCTGCCAGGCTGCGCTGAACACGAAGTTAATTAATGTGTAAACGCTTGTGCACATGAAAGCAGAAGAGAAGGACCTGGTTGGGAGGAGAATTAAATCAGAGCGCGCACGTTTTCACACGGCAGCCAGGCTGCTGCTGCCAGGGCCTGGCCTGCTCATTCACAGGCCGAACCCGTGGAGGTGTCTCACACATTATGTAATCACGCCACGGCCATGTCTGCCGCTGGCTGTGCACAGATAAACACTCGAAGGCTAGCTTCCGGTGAGAAAACAGAGGTTAGCTCTCCGCCGCGCCCAGGAAATTGGACCATAGTGGTCATAATTAGTGCAGAGAGGGGAGGGAAATGCGGTGTGAGAACTGCAGAACAACACGCTGAACATTTCAGTGGGTTAGCTCTATGGACCAGGTTCGGCTCTGAGTTTCAGTTTGGTAGCCTGGAAGACGGCAACAGAAATGTTAAAAAGGCGTGACGTTCTGTAGGTACACAGATGGAAATCTGATTCTGAGATCGGCTCATGGGCGCTGGGGCTGTAACATTTAAAATGGCCATTTGCAAACTGGTCAATTGCCAAGCATTGTGGGTAATTTATTGCTAGTATGCTCTCAAATACACAAGAACATTGCTAAGTAGTGTTTTCACAGATATAAGTTAAATAAAATGCTAACAACACAACAGTTTGGATCCCTGATGAATTTCTAAATGTTTAATGGCACACTGGTGCTGGCTTTTCAGAAATGAATCCACAAGTGATTGGGAGCAAAAGGGACTGGGAAATGTTTTTGAAGCATGTTGCTGGTGTATTTTTTCAATGGAAGCTCTTCGCCACATTTGTTCCGGCTGTTCTAAATCATAATCGTTCCCAGCGTGAATTTTTAAAGCTCTACAGTACATCGCACACAAATCATTCTCTTTCTGTATTTCAACTCACACATCCTTCCTCCACCCCACCTTCACCTCTGCAGCTGCCCCCTGGTAACTCCGCACTCTGCAGGGGGCTCCAGTCCCCTCGTCCTGCACCTCCCTCCCACCTCAAACACAGCTCCAGTAATTCTTGGGTATCGTTATCCCTCTTTCAATACCAGTCAAGCTTTTGCCCTTCCTGGGATTGTCTTTCCGGTCTTGCGTCATGTCTGTGTCTGGACTGTGATGAACACACGGAGAGCAGACAGCTGGAAGATACATTACTACTACTTATATAATAACTTACTACTTATCCAGCCTGGGCTTCGGTGCTGGAGAGGAATCGCACTTCGAGCTGAACAGGCGGGTGGCAGATGGCATTTTGCGCAACCCCATCGCAGAGGAGCACATGTAGATGTCAGCCCTGCAATTCAGAGCCCCTGTTTATCATAACCAACCTGTCAATACAAAAACATCACCTTAATTCAAAATAAGAAGAAATCAAGAGAAGGTCTAATCTGACATATGCATTCTTGCTTTCAGTGTATATGATGTCATAGTTTGAACGTTTGGATTCCTGTGAGCTGACCTTTACATATTGTACATAGATAATCTCTCTCTCTATATATATATTGTGAGCATTTATAATTCATAATGCATCCTTAGTGAAACGAAACGGTGAGTATTTTAAACCTGATTAGCATTTTTGTTACTAATGTGATTCGTCACTTCTTGTTTCAAAGAAAATAGTGAATGAGGCATTTTGGGGTGTTTAAAAATAAATCCCTGAGCATATGGGGGATTGGTCACATTAAATTAAACAAGCCAGTGTCTGACAGTAATTACAGAGCAATTACCATGCCAATATTCTAGAATTTTTTCTGGTTCATTAGAGAATGGCTAATTAGGGTTAAGGTTAAAGCAGGGGCTAGAGATGCAAATTACTTGAAAATGCCGTTAATTACTGACTAGTTTAAGGAGATTCTGGACTAATTTAGCACCGTCTTTCAGAAACGGAACACAACGTTTTGAATTCGGTCATTCTTTCTGCTTTTTATTTTTATTTTAGCCTCCTTAATTTACCTTAAGAAAAATGTGTACTGAAATAAAAACAAGAGGGTGAATTTGTGTACAGTATGAACAGTTGCATGGGAGGGAATACAGGGATGTTATTATCAAAAGCTTTAATAGCTCCCAATTGGGAGCAGCTAACTGGTGCTTTTGGTGATGGTTGCCTGAAGCACTAACTGCAGGGCCTGTTGAAGGGTTAGGCTGTAAGGAGTTGAATTAATCCTCCCCTCACGACTACAGGAAAGGTGCTGTGAGTGCAGGGATGGACGTGCGATTGCAAGAATTCAGGAAGTGCCGCCCATGTTCTGCAGACAGAGAGACCTGCATACGGCCCCCTGGTCTGGGCTGACGCAGGCCCAATCCCACTCAGAAAATGTTGTCAGACCAAATACTCGATACTCTTTGGGTGCTAAATGGAGCCGCTGATGCTCAGGGCCCAGAGGAAAAGGGGGATACTTCAAAAATCCCACAATGAATTTTGATGGTTGCATAGGGAATGGGGAAATTTCTCCCATTCCTATCTCGGATTTATTCCCGGCTACTGCTCTTTTTTAGGCCTAAACAGAGGAAGCTGTTACCGAATCAATCACTTTCCAGAGGACAACGACTACGACACTGACAGCTCTGAATATCTTCTCCGTATGTACCCTGCTTCTTCAGTGTGTGCATGCCCGTTTCTGTCTCATGCTGCTTTTATTTCTGATTTACAGTCCTGTAGTTCTCAGGCATGTTCAATCTCAAGGACATTCTGTAAGCTACATAAAATGCTTGTAACTTGCATTTGTGATCAGTGCAATAATAATGCAATATTTAAACTGGGGGGGTATAGAGGGTGAATATTTTCTGTAGCATATAGGGAGTCTGATTGAGAAAATTATAGCTTTTTACTTTCTCTGCCATTTTTCATTCTTGGAACACCAGACCCTTTAATTAGAAAACAGACTTTTTCAGAGAGAATAGTTGAATGGCGAGGATTTTGCAGTAAAGGGATACTTAGAAATCACTTGAGACGTCGCTCACCGACGTACTGGAACAAAACTACGAGCTGCTGAACAAAGCGCCTTCACAGGCGACTGCAGCACAGTGCAGAAACCTGCGTGTGAGTGAAATCAGTCCTTCAGCCATAAGAACCCAAGTGATTGACAGTGACTTACACACAAAGCCAGTCTCAGTGGGACTCCTTGCGCTCAGGGAATATTCCCCTGCCCTACGAGGCATGCCTGAGCCAAGGCCATGGTCACAACGGAAACAACTGTCCAGTTGCTTAATCCAATTACGCTGGAGTGGGCAGTTTTCTCTGGCAGTTAGTCCACACGGAAAAGCAGCTCCTGTATGTGAATATGACTTCCTTTTCCCAACCACATGCACTACAGCTTCTGTGATCTGCAGGTATAGTTCGTGCCTCCAGTATATTTCCCATCCTCAGCACCATCCTGCTGCTGCTCGGGGGATTGTGTGTGGGAGCTGGGAGAATCTACAGCAACAAGAACAACATCATTCTCAGCGCTGGCATCCTGTTTGTAGCAGCAGGTAAGGAGCAGCATAAAGCCCTCAGCCACTTAAGTGCACATTTGTCTGCTGGTAGCAAAGAGGCAGCAGTCAGACAGTAAGATAACTGCACTCAAAAACCATGAATTGACAATGTTATTACGAGATATTATATCCGTAGTTACTGAGGAGTTCCTTTGTACAATACGGTGGTGTATTAAAAGGGAACATGTTTTGGGATTAAAAAATGGATTGCGTTTCACATTTCTATTTACTGTGTTAAAAATATAGAGTTTTATAGAGGATGTATTTGAATATGGGTGATTATAATTTAGAGACAAGCTGGAAAGTCCAAAGTCCAAGCTATAAAGTGCTTTTCTGTGAGTACAGTAAATAGGTGGAATTTTGAAATGCTTTTGCTTTATAATTTCTAAGCATCCATTCTTCTGGTAGGCAGGAAATATGGGTTTAAGAATCTCTCAGGGTACATAAGTTAACAGAAGCTGACTCCGCACTTCAAAGTTATTTTACCAAAGAAACAAAGGAGCCTCATATGGAAATTAATAATCACCATGGAGACACATAGCCAAGAGCTGAATGCTTGTACATTGCTGAGGAGCAAGAACATTCCAAATGAAGACCAGCTGGGTCTGTGGGTGCTGCTTGTGAGGAGTTCAGCAGGCTGACATCCTCCAGATAAAGCAAACAGCAGCGTCACCACATTAGTAACAGGGTGCAAAGTGATAAGCTTATCCCCAAGAACACTGTTCGGCTGCGAATGAGACAGTACAGCAGAACCTAAACAGCAGGGCTGAGGAACTCCAGCCCCCTCTCTGTGTAAGAAAAGTAAGACAAGTGAGTTCCTAATGTGTTCTCTTTGGCCCTGCAAAACCACAAACTCAAGCCAGCCTGTGCTCCCCAAACCCTGGCCCTCAGACCGACACCTTTCCCAGAAGCTAGTCTGACTGGCCCCTGTAATAACATCCCGTTGCATTCATGCAATGCAAAACCCTTTTAGCTTAGGTGGAACATACCATAGGGAGCTGGACCCAGGTACAAAAAAATGTTGAGAAAGAGACTGTCTGCCCCGATCTTGCAGGGGCCATCCTGCTGGTTTCACAGGAAGAGGAACGTCCTCAAGGGCTAAAGATAAAGGCAGTGTGGTAGCTCCAGCCAATTAGTCAAATCATAGATGCGATGAAGTCATCAAGACCCCATCTGGTACGAAAACCCCGTGGTTCCCCAAGACAGAGACGGAGTGTTCTTGCTGACTCAGCCAAGGAAGCTGTTCGGCTATGAGCATGAGAGGAAGGCAGCAGCAGACATTGTAGGAGACGCCCCAGGAAAAGGCAAATGCCTCCTTATCTCATGCTTCAGAAACTCCATTCAGCTACAGACCGTTTCCCTCCTTCCCGTTTCTCTCTGTGCCCAACAGGTCTGAGCAACATCATTGGCATCATCGTCTACATCTCCAGCAACGCGGGAGACCCCAGCGACAAGAAGGATGAGGACAAGAAGAACCAGTACAACTACGGCTGGTCCTTCTACTTCGGGGCCCTGTCCTTCATCGTGGCCGAGGCCATCGGCGTGCTGGCGGTCAACATCTACATCGAGAAGAACAAGGAGATGAGGTTCAAGACCCGCCGGGAGTTCATCAAGACTACCTCCTCCTCTTCCCCGTACTCGAGGATGCCCAGTTACAGGTATCGCCGGAGGAGCTCGCGGTCCAGCTCGCGGTCCACCGAGCCCTCCCCGTCCAGAGAGACCTCCCCCGTGGGCCTGAAGATGGTTGGCTCCGTCCCCATGGGCGACATCTCCATGTACACTCTGACCAGGGATCAATCGAAATCCAGCACCGGAGCCTCCTACAGCCCGGAGCAGGACTCCGGCTTCCTGCAGGTGCACAACTGCTTCCCGAAGGACAAGGACGGGATTAACAGAAGGACGACACCTGTATGAAAGCACGGGAAGACTCGGCTGAGAATATCAGCAAACGAAAAAAAGGAATAAAACAATAACAACAAGAAGCTCCGGATGAAGATGTTATTTTGCAGAGGAGGACCGAGGACTCAGTGCAAACTGACGTGGGGAGCCAGGATAATGGGTATTAAATGGAAGCAGGAAGATAGCATCTCCTTTCTGGAACGAAGTGTCAACAAACCTGAGTGATGTGCAGGAAAGGAAGTGAAAGGAGATGGTGGTGGGGGGAGGGGGACAATTAGGAGCACCGAGCCTGAACTCATGCATTAAAATACTACACAGGTACTGGGGGAAAGCCATCCGTGCATTTTAAATAGCACTTTGTGAAAAAAAAAAGATGATAGTTTTCAAAGTACAGTAAAACCAGATTTAGTAGCAATATATTCTGTGATACACAGGAAGCCACAGTGACAACCCCCTGTCCCAGCACACCTTTGAACCTGGAGATTCCTTCTACGGTTTCTGTCATCGATGTTGTTGTTGCTGTTGTTGTGAGTCACGTGTCTGAGTAGATGTTTCTGAAATACCTAAGCCTGCATCGCATAAACTGGTGCTAGTTGAAATGTAGCCGCAAAGCAAAGGCCTCCCACCCCCTCCTCCACCCCCACACACCAAGTTTCCCGCAGGTTCTGTTTTCCTGACGTTTTTCTGGGCTTGCTTCTCCGGCAGTCAGGGAGAAAAGCTGTTTGCTCCGTGCTTTCGGTTCTGCTCCTGCGCTACCTTACCAAGTGTTCCCATCCATACAGCTTCTGCCCAGCTAGCGTCCGCGTCACAGGCACAGAGACCCTGCCATCACACTGGTCTTGTCATCGGATATTTTACACACTGGAACGGGAGCCTCAGATTTCACAACAAAAATTGAACTTATCCTCAAAATCTTATCGTCTAACACGTTGGGTACCTAGAAACGCTCCAAGAATAGGCAGGACTTGACTTATTTTGCTCAGGGAAGGTGTGGTCATGGATTCATTTTCGGGGGGGACAACAACAAACGCAAAACAAAAGTTTTTAAAAGGCTCGTTTTTAAAGAAGAAATTTTACCTTTTTTACACTTTTTTTGTAAATCGCAGAAAGACTGTTACTGTCCTGGCACAGCGATAAGGAGACGCTTTTCTTCTTGCCCTCAGAGTGACCGTGTCTCAGGCTTGGAGTAACGTTTGAAACTGTGCATCGTTCCAAAGCAGAGGTCTTGTAGGCGGCAAACAGTGTTTTTTATGCAGACTCATTTCATATAAATGCCAAAGGCGCTGAGAAATGCAAATGGAAGAGAACCTGATGTTACTTACAGCTTATGTGAACACATCAGCAACCGTAAGAAAGATCACCTTGGGCTAAAAAATAGTCTGTATGAACTTAATAAATGAAGACAACTGACTTTTTCCTGCAGTCAAACAGCATTGAAATTCACATCTTTAGAGTGAAAACCTAATGTTTAAGTACCATCACATCAAACAGGAAAAAATCAGTACTGAAGGACTCTAATTACAATAGAGTGTGTATTGCTTTCTGAAGGACATTTCGAATGTGTTCGGCACAGTGCAGAAACGAAGGGCTATGAGGAACACTGGCAACAAATTTGTCCCAAAAGGTCTCTCCTCCTTGTGTGTCCAGCATTATTTCATTGTAACATTGTAGTCAGTCATCAGTCAAGGGAGTATCTTGATTTTACAGTGATGCACAGATCAAAATTCTGTTTTACTATACTACAGTATTTTATTGTACAGTATTAAACATATTTTCCCGTTTTTCTGGGTGAGTTCCACAAGGCTCACACCATTCTGCAATTCAGAATCTCTCGTCACTCAATTGAAAAACAGCGGGAGAGAGAGAGAGAGAGAGGATTGTGTGAATCCTTTTGTTTCCTGGAGATCAGTGCAATAACTCTGCTGCCAGATCACTGCCTGTTTTAAAGCAGCCCAGTCTTGTCACTTTGATAAAGCCAGCACTGTTGCTCCTCAGCATAGCTCCCCACCTCCCCAAGTCTGACCCTGCAGCATGTCTCTTATCTGGCAGATCATTTAGTGTCCGATGGGACCAGTTGTGCGTTTCTCTTCTTCTCTAATCCTTGGCAATACCCAGGAATGTTTGCAGAACTCCTAGGGCACTTAGAGCTACATAATCTATTTACCAGACCCTGTGCCCCTTGCATTGTCTGCTGCACCATTCCCTGACTCAGCCCTGTAAGGAACCTAGCAGAGCCCAGAGAGCCATGCCAGGACTAATATGGCAATACAATCTGCTGTTTTGCATGGAAAACCAAACAAGACATTCCATTTTTCCCTTTTGCTTTTGTTTCTGAAATGGGTCCATTGATGTGGAGCAGCACCTACTCACATGCAAATGTTACTTTGAAGATCCTCTGCCAGGCGTGACATCTGCCTTGTTTTCACTCATGTCGCTGGGAATTCCATGTAAGAAATTATGGGAATCTTGTGTATGTTAGAGTAAAGCTGGAACAGCTAATTAAGCTAATGAAGATGCCTGCTTTGTTTCGGGGTTTTGTCACAATTTTAATTCCTACACATTTTAGAAAATAGAGATTGGAGAGTTGTGCTTACGTCCCTCTGTTTCTCATACTGCTGTAGCAACAAGCTCATTTTCAGAGGCATTACGCTGGAAACATGCCACAGTTTGAAAAGAGATTTTGTTCTGCAGATTCTTCAGACAACCAGAGCTTGCAAGCTCTATCAGAGTCTCTCCTGTGCCACTGTCTGCCAGTTAAAATCAGTCTGACTGAATCACAAAACGGCAATATTAAGTCAGTCAATGGCGCCCAGTGGTTTATTTAGCTACAGCATCTGACAAACACAAGAAGGATATGCAGGTACCACAACAATTGGCACTGCACACTGGAGTCAAACCCAGGAGCCAGAAACAGGGAGACAGTGTTACTGACCAGTACATCTCCTTGTTGCCCAGCAGCTCTGCTATCACACACGATATAAGCTGGACGAAAGAAGAAACAATCCGAGCCCATCGAGGGCCAGATTTCAAAAGTTGTTTGTCTGCTTTCAAACTTTAAAACCTCAGAGGACTGCAGGTCCCTGTGTGGGTCTCTGATGTGGAGCAGTGGGCAGGAGATCGTCCTCAGTGCTGAGCTGTTTGTCTCACTTACAGACGTTCACAGCATGTTGCAGGAGCAATGGCTGTGGTCTTACTTGTGTTAAGGGTAAAGACATGGCCTTATAAAACCAGGATATTTGCAAGAGTAGAGTTCTGCAAAGATCAGCTTGAGAATCAGTATTGAACAGCCTGGTTTGGCAGTGGGGCGGAGATATCGGAGAGTATCACATCTCTTTTGCTGCAGCTTTCTCCTGAGGCTTTCTTTTCTGCAATTCTACTTGAAACAATCCATGTAACCTCATTTTTTCTTCACATCTGAACTGATTCCGTAAGAACTTTTTTTTCTGGCAGAGGAACTGATCGTGCCAATTCTTCCTTGGGGATCTGGCCTTCACAATCGAGCGACTGGGGAGGGCGTCAGGGTGGGGGCTGGCTGTTCACTTGTTCTCTCTGAGGAAATTCCCAGCAGAAAGAAGATGAAATAAAATAAACCAGCCTGAATCCAGACAGTGGAGAGGAGCAGGCAAATGATAACACTAAGAAAACATCAGCCAAGATGAATAAAAATGTCCAATTTTAAGGAGGGTGGAAATTGTGAATGTCAGCACACTGTTTTTTCTTCTTTGCACTGTTAGCTTTGAACTTCCATTCTCCTCCTTAAATGGTTGACATTTACCTGAATGAAGGTTAAATCCCTGGTTTTCTTTCATGTGAAAGAATAATCGCTTTGTGGCTCCCTGCAGCTGTTGCCACCAGCCTTCTCTCTGCCTTTATCGGGGCATGTTAAGCTAATTTCCACTGCGTGCTGAAACTGAGTGTCTTCCCTGAATAAAAGGACAATAGGCAAATAGCAGGTTCTGGAAGCAAAGAGCACAGAACTCCCAGCGGGGTGCAATAACAGTGAATATCTGGGCACTGTGAGAGGCCCAGAGTCTGGAAAATAAACATCACAAAAACGAGGGACCACTGATGACATCTCTCCTGTCCCAGCCAGATCAAAGTGGCAGCACAAAGCCCTAAAACCCAGTGTTTTGATGGCTTTACAAAACCACCAGTGTTATCAGACCCAGTCTTTCACTGAGTCACTGTGCTCAGCTCAACATCAAACATCGGCATCGTTCTCCGCCCTTTGACTGCCAAGAGGGGTGCAGTAGAGAAACAGACACGAACAGAAGACGGCCGCCTCCGGTGGAGGAGATTTACAGACTTTGCTCCAGCTGTGTCTTTTAACCAGGTGTCGTAACCTTGCAGTTTCCCTGAGTTTGCGTCCTTTGCTGAGACTTTTCCCTTCCTGCTCCACTGTGAGCTTCTGCAGCTGTGTGGAGAGGGAGGCTGGGAGACTTCGGCTGTGGACCAGTCTCACTTTGGGGATGGCCACGCCGCAGCTAGGGCAGGAGGAGGAGGTCAAAAATGTTTTTAAAAAAATTATAGGAGTTTTATAACCACTGGACCCGAGCATGAAGCTAAAGGGTGCGAGCTTGAACTTTTGAAGACACTCACGTTCCTTTGGGCTTCTGTGTTCTCAAAAAACAGGTATGTGCAATTCACACGAAGGCCTGCCCTTGCTGCTGTTATGTGCCTGTGTTTTGGAGACCCAGCACAATAGCAGGGCTGATGAGGAGATACAGCAGCTCGCTGTCCCTGTGCTTAATTCCTTTCTCACTGCCTCGCTGCTCACAGCACAGATGAGCGTCTCACGTCTAGCTATTTTCCTCCGTGACAGCGTTTTAACACAGTTCTCACGTTTAATTTACTCTACTGCTGAGGAGCTATTTTCTGTCTTTATAGAGCATCAAGTAAGACGTGATCAGAAAGATTGATTTTTAATTTTTTTTTTTAAACCTAGGATAAAGAACTTCACATTGTACGTACTTGAGACACCGGTATGGGAAATAAACTCCAGGCTTTTATAACCATCTACAACTTAAGCCTTGTTTTTAAAACTAAAACAAAAGATTGGGGGTACTTTTTTGTTTTAAGAAGTTATAACTTGAATTATTCAATTATTGTTAAATGTGTCCTTTTTTGTTAGGTTCACTTGGGAGGTGTATTTTTTACGAAAACAAAAATGAGAATTCTATTTTACTGTTTGTAGATTTGTGTATGTTAAGAAGAAAAGCTAATTTGTTTACATGAAGTCTTATTCTAAACAATGTGCCATAGTTGTACATACAGTAGGTAGTTTCTGGTGACAGAGCCATCGCCATGGGAATCTGCAAAATAACTAACACGTGGAATGCACTATATATATTTTTCCCTAAGCCTGTGCAGCATTTATGAAAACAGAACTTCTATTTTGTTGTTGTTACTTACGGTTTATTTTAATTCTCCTTCAGCTGTGTTTGTCAGGTGTGCTGCCACAACGCTCTTCTCTCTTTGAAATCCTGCCCCCACCAGGGGGCGCCACCCTTTCAGACCCGCTGCCTCTACTCGCAGCGAGTCGCTGTTACTGACCGGCCCCTGCTGGTCGGACCTTTTGTGACTGTGTGTGCAATAACGAGGGCGTCGACGGGACCAGAAGGCGCTCGGGATTGTACCCCGAGCAGGTCTAGGGCCCATCTGAGACTGCAGTGCCAGAGTGAGGAACCTCCTGCTGGAGGAAAAGAACTCTGACACCGAAGACAACCCGCAGGGTGGTCCTGAGGGGCCTCGTGACAGCTGTGTTAGAAACGAATCAGACAGAAATGGAAACGTTGATGCGGACAATACTGTCAGTGTTACACTGCAAGCTCAGTACAACGACTAGGAGATTTGTCTTAGGGTTGCTCCAAACAGCACGCTACAACTGTGTTTTTCAGTGTCAGTTTTAGAGGGGGTTAAAAAGACACCCTTCCCACCCTGGAGCAAATGAGGCTGTGTTGACCCTTTGGTGGATGAGAGGTACGTAATTGAAGTGTAGGGTCGGCTTCTTTCTCCTTGGTTGGTGTCCCTGTCATATCACTATCAAAAAGGTCTCCTTCTTTATGTACTTAATATACTGTACATGTATCTTTGAGTGTAATTTATTTGTTGTTTCTAAGTGTGTACCGAGTAAGACGGAAACGCCAGTCACTCCCCTTCTTTGTATGAACAAATTAAAAATAAGCAAAGTTGTTCTGAAAAATGTTTCTTGGAGAGTTGCGTTTGAATTGTTTCCACCATACCTTGCCCTTTTCTGAAACATTTTGATTTATCAGAAGACACAGAAACGGTCATTCATTTATAAGGTTTATTTCTTTGACGTAAGAATACAACACCCGGCTGAAATTCCTAACAACTAAACTGGGGGAATGCAAACAGCTCTTATTTTAACCTGTCAAGAACAGTTGGACATTTCAATAAACTTGTTAACAGTGTGGCTTCACGGCGCTCTCCTGAATACAGAACAAGCGCGCACCACCTCTTTCATATCTTTAGCAAAACAGGCCTTTGCAATGAATTCAAACTCAATTTGTTGTATTGATTTGAATATAGACACATGCAGCACAGGCCCATGTAAGGTGGGGAGGTTTAAAAAAACGAACTAGCGGTGGAAAAAAACCCAACCTACTGCGTTATTTTGTTGACAACAGCACAGGGAGGAGGAACTGTGGAGCACACTTGTCCAGGGTTCACACTGAGTATTCCTTTACAGGACATAGCTGGGGGGATAGTCCTGGTCCCGAAAAGCAGCAGCCCAGCAGGTCTTGCAGGTCACCCTGAAGTCATCCATTTATAAAGACTGGGAGCACGTGTGATTTTTGATCGATTTAGTGAGTTAATTGGTTCAATTAAGTCATGAATGGCCATCTGGGGTCCTTGAGGGCTACAAGGTTTCGGAGTTTCCATTTTTAAATTAAATCTGAACTACTTCATTGAACAAATCCCCCCACTTCACTGATCAAAACAAAATTCTACATATTTAGAAACTGATGATTTCAGGGTGACCCACAAAATAATGACTGTTGGATTCTGGCTCTGCATGGCCAGGACTGGCCATCTCTGGTGTACAGTTTTAATATCATGACAATATTAAATATGTAAATATGTGTACTCAGTATGTACTCAGTATGTAACACATTCTGTGTTGTTCAGGCTATCCTGTTTATCTATAAAGAAACATTATCACTTCAAAATGCGGAAAACCTGGTGAATTAATTCTAAAAGCCCAAAGTGTTTTGGCCATAACTTAATAGCAGCAAAATAACCAATAGGCCAAAGTAAGGTATTAAGACACAGGCACCATCACACAAAAAAAGAGCTCTTTTCTGCATGCACAGCACACATAATGCCTGAACTGCATTAGACAGTGGCTTGTTGATCTTTGTAACACCAGGTAAATGCCTTGTTTGCAGACAGTAGCAAGATGCATTAATTGCACATAACAAAGTATTTATATCTTAGTGCTGGGATAGTTCCCTGCTAAATGCTGTTTACTCTGAAACAAGGAGGCGCACTGTGAGAACATGTAGACACCAGCCCATATCATACCTTCAGAGCACAGTCCCTCCATTCAGTTCCTTCACCTAGTTGATGGACACTTTTCCAGCTCCCCGTAATCTGCACAATCTGCTTCTCTTCATAATGTGTGCTATCAGATTCCAGAGACGAATGCTGGAAAACAGCTAAAAACTAGCAGATATCTGAACAGCGGTGTTTCTTTAAAAAATTATGCTTGAGGAGGGGCTGCCTAGTGCTTCAACCAGAAAAGGCATTCACTCCAAGCACAGGTTGAGCTCTGTGATGGAGATGTCACAGGTTCAAGCCTAGCTAACTGCCAAGATTCCCCCAGGGAAACATTGGGCCTTGTGACTTCCTGGGAGGCTCACAGTGATGTCAGTGATGTCCTCCAATCTGCACTGAACCTCCAGCAGTGCTTGCAGTGTCAGATTATGAAGTTTCTGCTTTACCTCAGTCTCCAGGTTGCATACTGGCCCCGCCACTGTGAGCCGAAATGCCGAGACAAGATGGACGTTCTATTTTCTGTGGGCACAAAATAAAACAAAATAAATCAGCAGTTCAACTGAAAACAGCTCATGAAGGAGCTAGACTGCAGGCGCTGAAATAAAAGGCATTTGACAGGATAAGAGTACAGACAGATTAAATGGAACAGGAAACATCCCTAAATATAATCACGCTTCACATATACTGTACAGCTTTTAACAGAAGTGAAAGTGACGTGAGAATCATTATTTAGACTGGGTAGCTAACAATAAAAAAAAAGTAATTGTTTTCCACTGCCCTCTGAGTCGGCCAGCTTGTCTTATACAGTATATATCTATCTATAAGCAGAGCACAAACAGTCACAAGGCCGGTCGCGGTGCCTCATCAAACTCAGCAAAGCAAAAGTCATTTGGCCTGCGGTTGCCATCTCCTCTGTGCACCCAGGCTCACTTTCCCTCACAGCAGGACCCCTGAAAGAGAGCTGTCTCACCCTGTGTTAACCAAGTGCTCTCTGTCTGAGCAGACCCCCCTGGGCTTGGGGGCTGCACGGCAGCTGTCCGCAGAGGTGGCCGGGCACAGCAGGAGGGGTCACTCCCAGCTGGCTTTCTAGGTCGCAGCTGCTCCTCAGGGGATCCCAAAGACAGAGGCATGTCACTGCGGAATGCCAGCAGGGCCCCCTGCATGGTCATCTTAAACACTCCCTTTATAATAATGACCGCAGCGACCTGTTAAAAAAATGCAAAATATGTATTAGCATTATTGTACCTCAATTGTATATGAATAAAAAGAATCAAATATGCAACTTTTGTATGTACTGCATGTAGCCATCTACCGTACAGAAATAGGAAGTCTTTTAAAATTAAGCATTTACTAGGAATTAGGCAATTGTGAATATTATGCAGCTCTGGCTGTATCACAGTGCTACGAAAGCAGAACTACGTAACAAGACTTCTAATTCTGCCTCATGCATATAAGGTCAAAGTTAGCAGCGGTTTGCCTTTTATATGGCTCTTCAGCATGGTATATTGTACTTAACCACTGACACAGATGCATATATGGAGGAATGATTTTTCAGGCCCATACCGTCTTTAATGGCAAAGCTCTGAACCATGGGAATGGACATCAATCAGCGCTTGCCATTTTGCAACTCTGACTCTGAGTGCCTAACCAATCTGTCTGTCAGCCGAGTAGACTACATGGCTATGGGCAGTTCCACACATGAAAAGATGGAAGGTGGCACGGAGGTGCAGTGGTCAGCACCGCTGCCTCACAGTGCGAGGGTCCTGGATTCAATTGCGGACCTGCGGTGCTATCTGCGTGGAGTTTACAAGTTCTCCCTGTGTCCGTGTGGATTGCTTGCTCCAGTTTCCACCTACAGTCCAACTACTGTGGTAAGTTAGTAGCCCTGGTGTGGGTGTGTGTCCTGCAATGGACTAGGTGTCTCCTCCAGAGTGCCCTTTGCTTATTGGGATAGGCTCTGACTCCCCCACAGCTCTGAACTGGAATCAGCAGTAAGAAAAAAGGATGGATGGATGAATGGAAAAGGTGGAAAGTGAGCTCCTCAAGGAGAGCTTGTGGGACACGGTCTGTGTGCCTTCAGCAGTACAGCGTCCCAGGGTGCTCCGTGATGGGTGTCCACTGGAGAGGACAGCCGCTCTGTCCCTCACTCACAAGCGCCAGAGCACCAAACCTGAAATCTCCTGACCTTTAAATCCACATTAGCAGACTAAAAACGAGAACAATACAACAACACCATGTGTGCTAGGCAAACTAGAGTCCAGATCTCGACTGCGGACAGCCGTGTTCACCTCTAGTCCCAGGGATCTTCCTTCAGCATTAGAATCCAGGTGTTGCAGGCAAGATTATCTGCATTAACAATTGTACAATGAAACCAAATCATTTACTGTACCATCTTAAAGTTTTGTTAATGGTGCTGTAATTGTTCTTACTGGTAGCTAAATACATACAATCGCACCCTCAGAAGGTCAGTCAAGTATTTCAGAGACACATGAAAGATTACAGAAACGGGAAAATGGCTGCAGTCATATACTGAACAGACCTATATTTAGAACAGCCCATTCCTCCTGCAGCCTCCATCGAAGGCATATCAGGACTGCTTTAACCTACTTGATATGAGATGGCTAAATTTTGCTCGACCTTGTTACAGATGGCCCTAGGGCTTTTGCAGTCTACTTTTGCTGGAGTTAAGTTGTGTGTCTCAAGGAAATAAGGTGCATGGTGTAGATTCCCTCTCCAGACTTTCAGAGCTTTGCATAGATCTGTTTATATCCACACTTACAGAGTAAAAGCATTTTGCTCAAGCCATGATGAAGAGAACTGGGAAAGATAAACTAACAGCATTGCAGTGAGGGAGGGACAGTAATAGATTTTTAAAACAATCTACAATGCCATCAGACCAAAAGCAGCCAAGTTAGCTTATATACAGCATGACATTTTGAAGGGCATCAGAGAAGAGATAACTGTGATTGTGAATGGATGGGTAGATAACCTTTCACACTCCACCTCAACAAATGTGCTCACTGGATTCTGGTCAGCTTTGTATCCCTGTGGTGTGCTGCCATACCTTGGGCAATAGTGCTTTCTATTGAGACTCTCAGTGTCAGCCTGTGGTCTGACTGCAGGTTGGAATTCTAGGAATTCTCATTCCTGGGTCCTTATTTCAGGCAGATGGCCAAGGAATAGGAGGCTGTCTACCCAGAGACATGGGCAGTAAATCTGCTGACTGCAGAAGACCCTTCAGCTACCCAAAAGAGAGAGGGGGGGTGAAATTGTCTATACGAAAGCTGAAAGAAGGAGGTGGAGAGACGGAGGAAAAGCTCTTCTCCTGAGCTTGCAGAAGGCCCCGGGGGTTGCCTGTATATTCCAGGGTGCCCACATATAGACACAATCACAGGTCAGCACGGAGAGAACATGCACAGTATGGAATCAAGTTGAGGACTCAAGAACTACCAGGCAGCAGTAATTAACAATATACCACTGTGCCACCATAATGTGAAGACAGACAGGTAGTTCTTTGTTTATGTTCCCTTAATTTGCTTGTTTCCAATTTAGTGCTCCTTATAATATATTTCCTCATTTAGAACAGAATAACTCTTACTTTAACATGCTTGGCCACAAAGTCTTAGAGAGTGTATTCTGCGTGTACCCAGTATCGGCCTGTATGCGAAGGAACACATTTTCCCTAACACACTCTTGCTGTTAGCGTTAAGTTGTGTTAAGGCGCTGTCAGAATCGTCATCCCTCCTCTTAAGGGCGCTCCGACCCTTTCGTATTTTAGTTCATTTGTGCACCTGCCCCCTGTTTAGCCTGACACTATTTAAGCCTGGTGGTCTCACTAGTCCTGGCTCAGCACTGAGGGATGGATGCCCAGCATCCTGACCATCTGAGTCCAGGGCTCAGAGCGCCTGGCCTCGTCACCCTGGTTTTATTCCCTGTTCCTGTTCCGGATCCCATTCCGGATTTTAACCTTGTTTGTCTCGGATGGATCTCCCAGTTCCTGGACTGTGCCCCGGATTCCCCCTTGGACTGTCTGGACTCGTTTGCCCGTGCCACGCCCCCCGAGCGCCGGATCACTGTCGTCACGCTCTCCTGTCTGCCAACCCGTCCTAGCCTGCTGTACCTTCCCTGTTGTCCTTCTCCACTTACTTCCGGATTATACCGTCTGCACAGGGTCCTGAACTACGCCTCGCAGGGACGAGGGTATAGCAGGCGTGCTATAGAAATGCTTGGTAAGGCGAATAACATTTTGATCAGAGCACGTCCAATAATGCGGAAAAGCTGGCACTTATTTATGACGTTGAATAAATCAAATAAGCTTCCACCCCATTCACTACCCTCCCCTAACAACAGTCTTCACTTCATGTTTCACATGAAATTGATCAACATTAACGAACATTTCTTCCAAATGACTTTTAGTGCAACTCTATAAGCATCTTATATTGAAACATTTGCTTATTTTAGTTATTAAGGGGTTAAAATCTTTGGGTGAGGGTGAACCCCAGAATGCTTCCTCCCTATATACATTCATATTTATGTGAAACTGCTGTGGAATTCATTTTTAATTTACCCATTTCTGAACTGTGCGGCATTTTTCAGGAACGCATTCATTCACATGAATCAAGAACTACCCCTACTGCATTTTAACAGAGATTAAATGGTTCAAGTTGTCATTTGGATTTTTTTAATATTGCATCTCATAAATACAAAATATATATCCCACCAGCATTCCCCAGCTTCTGAATCCAATCTAACTGGGTTTTACCACTGTAATGCATTATGCATTGGGAACCCAGGCTCCAACCACAGTGTGATTACTGTACATAAGTGCTCTGTCTTGTGCACACCTGAGTCGCATATCATTTCAGATTTCATTACTAATCTCAAACAGAAACCTGTAAGTGCAGAAACACTTTGGCATCCCATGTTAAAATCCAAAAGCTCTATTTAAATTGTCACAGGAGTAATTGGGTCAGAAGACTAAGAAAGTAGAGCACAGCTGACAATTTATAAAAAGCACTTCACTACGGAGTGCCCTATGGAGAATATGCTGCAGACCGCGGAAGGCGTGAAGGGCCGCTTGACATTGAGCGAACAGGAAATGTGGAGGACGAAGGACACTGAAAGCAGGTTCGGTTCAGCTCCAGTTGTCCCTCGGAGCAAGAAGACCCTCTGTCTTCTCAGACCCACTCGTCTCTCAACGGCCATGAGTCAAGCCCTGGGGTCCAGAAAGTCAGGGCTGCAAACCCGAGGTGGCCCCCTGACCTCTCCTCACTCTGCAGGGGTCCCTGCGATGTGCTGGGTTAAGCAAGCCTGGGACAGGGTGCAGTCCTTCTTCACACCGGGCCAGGGGGAGCTGTAGGACAGTTTCCACGCACTCGCCACCACATTCCACCACGCTCTCTTCACTGCAATTAACCTGCTATCCCACCACGTCTCCCCTTCTGTTCTTCTTAAACCTTTCTACCGGCCCTCTCCATGCTCACCATTGAGTTCAACCCACCTGAGTTTAACCTTTTGCCGCCGGTTTGTCGCACTACTTTTTGGATAACGGACACTGCCTTCACCACCGACTACGGACCTGCCTCATAGACCGGATTCGGTGTTCGGACTCTGCTCTCTGGATAGCGGATCTCCGCCCTCCTTCCTGACCACGGCACTGCTTTCCGATTTGGACTTCGGTAATGGAACACGCACTTTCTCTCACTCCTGCCTCGCGCAGGGTCCGAATCAGCCCCACTGGTATTTGACACAGGTTCCATTCACCAACAATGGAGATGTCTCTTTAAGGGCTGTCATCTTGGTAGGGGAACCTCCCAGACCCCCAGCACCTCATAGCAGTCCTCTACGATTACAATGTCCACAGTTGTATGCTACTACACAGCAATTCCTAGGGTTTACGGAAAAGTGCTGGAGAGACAACTACTAGGATCAGAGGTTAGGGGCACCGGGATGATTTTGAATTTAACACATTCTAGAAGCCAACTTTCTTTTTTACTTACAATAGCAGTTACACAGACAGTCCTTTATCTAACATACTCACCGTGCGTACCAAAGTGTCTTAAACAGAGGCTCAGACTTTCCTGTTTCCCATTTATTTCTACAGCATGAATAGAAACAGCTCTACGTGATGCTATGCCAGAAACTATTTTATCACTGGTGTGACAAGGGTCACATCTTCCCCTTTCACTCCAATAACAACAAGGATGATATAAGGCCCATAGTTTCCCATCTGTTTATCCGTCAAACGTTAAGTGCCTTTAGATCGGAGATCTGAAATGTTCTGTTTAATGAGAAGCTAATTTATGGTAACAAATACACCTCCTGCATCTCTGAGAGCAATGACAGCACGTTTGCATGTCTGCGAAAACCAACAGCTGTTGTTTAGACACAGATTTCTCTGTATAAATAGTTTATAGTAGCATTTAAACTAAGTGCCTGGTGGGAATAAAGTTTAGATTAGGAATGTTAAGAATACTATGATGATGCAATTGAATAAAAGTTCAGTAAATGGGGACAAATCAAGACTGTGAACACAGACTGCACTCTTCAGAACAAAACAGAGCTTTTCACACATTCAGGTTATCCAAGCTATCCTCATAAAGCTCATCAGAAAATAAAATTCGAATGCAACTAAGAAATGCATTAAAAAACTATTATTCCCTTTGTTCCAAAAATTAAGGAGAGAGATATTGCAAAGTGATTTCAAGGAAGGAGAAAAGAAATTCAGACTCAGTCGTTTTCACTTTGCACTAACACAACAACACCAGGAAAATCGAGGCTTTATATTAACTGTAGAAAACTCAGCAACACACAGCAGAAACCTCAAAAACTATGCCCACACTCTTCTCGGCGATTAATGAAGTACTTGTAGTTTAGCAGACGGCCACAGCCCTGTGCTTAACGGGCATGCTGAGAAAACATAGAGACGAAACCTGATAAGTGGACATCCTGACAACCTGACTCACAGCTCACATTAATAGCAGCAGCTACCCGCCCATCACAGGCAGCCAGTGTGGTCATCAACTTTTCTGATATGCATCAACAGCTGTAGTCTGAACCACACTCCTCCTCACTCCATGAGGAGAGAGAGAGGAAAAGAAAACTAGGGCACTGTTTTCTGGCCACTTTTTTTTTTCCTCCCAACGAGCGACAGGGATTTGGAGTGGGCTGAAGCTGCGAGCAGAGGGGACGTGGGAGTGGAGGCTTAAGGAGAGGTCTGCAGAGTCCACAGGCAGAGCGGCGGAGGTGAGGCTGTGAGGCAAGAAAAAAAAACCCCCGCTCCAGTGAGAACCGACAAGCAGAGCCATGCTGGAGGACAAGACCACCAAGGTGAGGATAGCGTTCTTCGTCATCCTTGTCGGGATCTCCGCCATGTTCGCCGCCGTGACGACGGATCACTGGGCGGTTCTGAGCCCGCGGGTCGAGCGCCTCAACACGACGTGCGAAGCGGCTCACTTCGGACTCTGGAGGCTCTGTAAAAAGACCATCTACATGGAGGAGCCGGACCCTAGGGGCAAGGGCTGCGGGCCCATCAGTCTGCCTGGAGGTAAGACCCTTCCGTCTCTGCTCGCTCTGGGCCCCAGGCCCACCAGGGGTAACACCGAGGTGTGGGGCCGTGTGAAAGGACAGAGAGAGCGAGGGGCTCTAACCCAGCAGGGCTGCAGGGCTGCTCCAGGAGGAAGGCGCTGTTACAGCGTTAGTTTGGTTTAGTTAGTTAGGTTTGACAGATAAACATCTGGGCACCGCGCCGCTCCCTGTGGGTGCGCTCCTCGCGCCCCGGTCAGAGCCAGCTCGGGCTCTCAGGACCTGGAAACCTCGCTCACGCAGACAAGCGGGATCACTCACTACACCCGGAGTTCGAATTCAAATTCAAATTCCTCCAAGACCAGCTGCAGTACGTACAGTCACATACACTTTATACATAGAAGAGTTGTGGGTATTGTATATGTACATCTATCCATTAGCTTGTCTGTAGCCCAAAATGGGAAAACATTACATTATTGAGAATACCGATCGGACGCACAGAATATTCAGATAATCATGGCAATGGCGAAAACAGTCTTTAAAAATCAGCACTATTAATCCTTTTTAACAAAAAATCCTTTTTAGCAAAAAAAATGCTCCACGCACATTTTAATGAAACTAGTGTTCATGATTTAGGCAAAACCAACATCCGCACAAACATGATTTATGCAACTACAGCCTAACAAAAGAGCAGAGGTCTTCCCTGTTCTTCACACGTGTTGTGCTGTAACATCCCAAGAAAAGTCCTGCGATGACAACTCTGTGCCACCAGTCACAGACAAGCCAGCCCACTGGTCTGTTTGTTAGAAACTGAAACAGGCTCTTCTGCTGAAACAGCGTCTTTTTAATACAGACGGTAAGACAACTCACCACTGAGAGCTTTCTGATAGAGAAGGAAAAAACCAGAAGAGCAGAGATTCATTTGATGCAAATCATAAAGCAACACACAACCCCAGCTCCTTTTCATCATGAACTACAAGAGTAGACATAGAAATGTTTTGCCTGAAAGATTTATTTGCAAAAGAAAAAAGAAAATGAGGTTCTTCATTGTCACAAGGGCCCCTTTAAATGCACAATTTATGTGCAGTGAACTGAAGCAAGTAATTGTCTGTGTCGGTATGTGTGTTATATGTTTGCAAAACAAGATGGTATGGTACCATGGAAGACAGAGCTCTTAAAAAGGAGCCTGTTTGTATATTTGGCTGACCTGGCTTCCAATATCTGGGTGAGATAGGAGCTGGGAGAGGTCTCTGTTTGCCTAAATACACTATTTACACACACAGAGCAATAGGTCTCACTTGGCACACTTTTGTAGTAGCGCATCAAAAAAAGAATTATTGCATGAGCAATGGTAAATGTGCACCATTAACCCATCCAATTTGATTGGCAAACAATTGTCTAATAGCTTTTAAGAAAGAAAAATGGCATTTGCTTTTCTCTCTTCTTCCCTAAGACTTAAGTCTATGGCGTTAAATGCCCCCTTGTTGAAAAAGACATGTCTTCATAAAGCAGGGTCTGTTAAAAAAGAGAAATGTGGCCTCAGTTTTTTTTTTTCATGCAGTGAAGCATTTAACCGCAGCACATATTTGGGAAAAGCTCTCTTCTGCCTCCAGCACTTACAGCACCTAGAGAAAAGCCCCCAAACCCAAGGTGGAAAGAAGAGGATCATAAGTTTGTTATTCTTAAAGTGAACTGTGAATATTGTGTCATTCGAAAAATGTTTAAAGATCAACCCTATGTTTCACTGTGTCTCACCTGGGCTGTTTCAAGTAAAGTTGCATTTTTTTTCTTTGAATTACTCGCATCCAGTACCTACAACTCCACTGCAATTGCTTCCCGTTTCCCTGCTTGAGTGGGCTGAGGGCTCTTCCTACAGCCACCGCAGTGTGCCGAATCTGCAGCCGGCCAGCCCTCCCTCAGCGCAGAGCTCCCTCGCTGTGCGTTGAAAAAATGAAGTTAAAGGACATTACACGCACAAGTCTTGTGAGAGATCTGCACACAGAATCCCCTCACAAGTGGAACAGCCAATGGCTGTGCAGAACAGCTCTGAACTTGTCGCCGCAGAGACAGAAAACCACAGAGCCTCATGCTTCTGAGCGTTTCAAAGGCATCCTGCAGGTTCACAATGTGATTTTTCACAGCTTTCTAGCAAAACGGAGACTTCTGCTGTTACATGTTGTTACTAGTCCAAACCTTATCAAGCTATCCCAGTTTTGTGACCTGCTTTGCAACACATAAAAAACATAACGAAAGTCATTCAGCCCTTTTAGTTTGTTTTGGAGTGAGGACAACCTCTCTTTCTAGTGCCCTGCTTTGCCTGCTCCTTCGGTTTATAATTTGCTTTCCGCAGTCTCCCTTCCTTTCATCGTACTCTGCCACTGGATTGTCTTTGGAGGGTTGAGAGTCTTCACTTTTCCGTTAGCGGCCTGGGGCAGCGCAGTGTGTCGGCTTGCTTAAGCTCGTTCAATGAAACAGACGCAGGGAGAAGCAGCGAAGAAAATGACAGTGGAACTGATTCGAAAAACCGCCCAATTTAATAAGACAGTGTTAATAAGACAAGGCAGGTGAAAAAGAACAGTTGGGGAAACAGAGAAGCAGAGGGACACTGCTCCAGTATTGCAATTTGAAAGAGCTCTGTATGCTTTGTGCAAAATGTGTGCAATAGGGGTTCCTGTTTTGGAGGTTTCATTTGATGAAAACTATATATAGGCAGCAGTGTAGAATAGTGGCTAGGACTCTAGACCCAGATCCAGAAAAGCTATGGGTTCAACATGTGGCGCTGTCACCCCTGAGTGAGGCACATCACTCAGATTGCTTCAGTAAAATGCGCAGCGGTGTGAACGGACACAAATGTGAGTTGCTTCGGATACAATCTGGCATGAAGAGCTACTGTGCATTAGTGTGTGTTCATGTATGAGCTCCCCGGGGAGCAGAACATTTCTAATCACCCAGAGATCTGGACGGGGCCAGCTGGTATGAGACCACCTTGCGTGCATGAGGCTACAGTGGGCAGGGCTGCCAGGACAGAAATAACCCAGTGCTCTCCAGTGCAGGCTGAAGTTTACTGAGGCACCTTCGCTTTATTAAAAAATAAGCAGAGGTTTTCTTGGGTGCTGTACAACAGTATTGCTTTACTGTTGTTTTTTACCTGGTATCATAAAGACAGGACGGTTTCAAAATGTCAAAGTCCGCCCGATACAGAAGCGCGTGCGGATATCACCAGGGCACTACAGCAGTATCATGGTAGTTTTGGAGCCTAAGAGGGGTCAGGCTGTACTATTTTAGAGCTCTGCTTTTTTCAAAAATAAATCCAGTACGGGTCTATGGGCTCAATACTGACTACAAGATATAACAGCAATTTCTCCAGATGTAGCTTTTAAGGTGAAGAAATTCTGGGCATTTCACTAAAAGAAGAATTTGTCAGTTCTGCGTCTGTGTAGGAACAGATGAACTTGAGAAAGGTTATCAATGAGGGGTGGACATGTGGCCAGTCTGGCATGTTTAGATGGTAATAGCTAAATGACCCAAGGATCTCATACAACTGTTTTTCAGCCATCAATTTTGCATAAGAAACGAAGCTGAACACAAACAGACTATAAACTAGAGGTTACGGGTTTCCAGGTGAAGTGCTGAGAGAGAGGTGTGTTTGTCTCTCTTTCTGCTGGGAACGGGTTGCCTTTGGCTTGCTTGACTTCGTCCGAGCACTCCTGAGATCCCCTGTCTGCTGAAAGCGAGCATGAAGGACTACTCATTAGTAGCCAGACAGACACAGAGAAAATCTGAATTACATAAACAGTATATATGATTGCAACAACCACATCCACGTACTGTATCTGCAGAAAGGGACTTTGGTTCTTCCTCCAGCATATGGTTTGATAATTTTAGGCTTCAGTCAATGGCCAGCTGTCCCAATAAAAAGAAGCTGCAGAGCCAAGTTTTTCCCTGAAGTTCCAAACACCAGTGAGTGACAGAGCCATGTGTGCTGGCCTCACATACTCACATAGCACACATACTTCATGCAGAGCAAGGAGCCCAGCAGGGACTGCTCCCTGTCCGAGGCCCATCCAGCTCACAAACCATTAGAGAAACTAACGTTGAATCCTGTGGAGTCATTTTTTGGTGAAAGACAGTCCAGCCTGGTTCCCCGTATATCAAAAGACACACAGCAAGCACAGTGGGTAAGGACAGAAGGTGCCATCTGTTCTCCCTGTGATTAGAAAAAGAACACCCTCAAGCTCTGTCTACACCTGTTTGCCGGAGTCAAGCTGAAAGCCTTTTAGCTTTGCAGATAGTGCCAACAGGTTAAGACGTTATCATTAAACACATGGCTCCCCTGTGACAATGTTCTGCAACTTGTTTCAGAACCCTGCGCCCTCAATCCCAGCCTGGGCTGTCGCCGAGCTTGCGATTTCATTTGCATTTGACAAAACGGCACCCCAGAAGTGTGACAATTTAAAATACACACCTTTTAATTAAAAGGCATTTAACCAAGCTACTTTTTTCACCTCAACACCAACAAACTTATGAAGACACCTCGGAGTCATCTGCTTGGATAGTTCATGGGATGCTTGTTTCCTGCAGAATGCAAAAGAGATTAAAAATGTGTCTCTTGTTGACAAAAAAGAGTTTACATGGGGTCGGAAAACAGGGGTCAGGAGAAAGCCAGGCTGGGAGAGAAGCACAGAAATGGTATAATACAACAGCTTTTGTCATGTCAACAGCTACAGGATGATGCATGTCCCTTATAAGCCCAGAAGAGCCCTTTATTCTTAGAAGCAATGCCTGTCACACAGTCCCCACGTGGCTGCCTTCTGAGACTCGCTTGGTATTAGCAGAACGTGTTCCAGCTGGATGCCCAGAGAAAACCCCTCAGAATACTCCCCTCTGCACCCATTTTCCACTTCTGACTTGAAATCATTTTGCATTTGCTATGGAAATCAAAACCGAAAGCTCAGAAATAGCTGTTCCTGGGCTAATATCCATGTACACACCATACAACAGCCCCTCCTTCTTAATGTTAAA